TTATCTTGTTGTGGTGCTCAAGTATTTCATAAATTCTGGATATAAGTCCCTTATCTGATATGTTATTACCGAATACTTTTTCCCAGTCAGTGGCGGAGAAGTTTTTGGATACAGGAGTGATATTCATTTCCGAAACGGCTTGCCTCCGGAAACTATGAACATGGAGAAATGACCAAAGTTATACATGTGTTCAGATCTTTTGTTCACAGAGTTGCTGCGAGTTGTCTATGACTTGACGGCACTTAACAACAACAAAAATTATTTAATATACAGAAAACAACTATCTATGGTAGATATCTTATCCATACACGTTTATTCCCAGAAAACCACATTGTCCATACTTCTGGACCTTATTTGTGGAGTTTTCAGTGAAATGAAAAGAATAATAATAAACATGCATAAATGTTTGGGACACACATCACTCTCATTTGTCCCAGTTCCAGCTTATTAAGTCGTTTCTTGTTACATGGATAACAAATAGAGTAAAACACATTTCAGGGGTAGAGTTCTTCAGATTATTTTTTATTAATATTAGTATTTAGCAATTTATTATTTAAAGGGATGTTATTGTTGTTGTTAAGTGCCGTCGAGTCGCAGGCGACTCATAGCCACCCTATGAAGGAGAGTCCTTGATGCTTGGGTGCCTTTCATCCTCTCTCTAGGTTCATAGGGTTTCCGGAGGCAAGCTATTATGGAAGTGGACGCCACTCCTCCTTCGACACTAGTTCAATCGGGGAGCTCCACCCCACTCTCAGTCCGCATTGGGTAGCCAACCATTAACGCATTTGACACATCCGTGTCACAGTGTTCAGCCTCACAGCAACCACAAGTGACCGCGGGACGGCAACTTGTACACCAGGGCTATACGACCTACCAGATATAATATCCTCCTTTATTTAAATTTTTTTTTAATGAAAAGAGACTTTAACTATGATTATCTAATTACTCAGTAAAAGTAAATTTTAGGAAATGCTATCTTGTTTCATATCTACAGTGATTTAAAAATTATGGGCATTTAATAAATTATCCTCTTTCTTTTTTGGAAATTACATTTTGTCAAAGATGTCATTTTTCTAAAGTTTCAGATCATGTATTGTCTTTTCTTCAAATAACTAGATCCGAGAGCAATACAACCTCAAGGGAAAAGGTTTATAAAGTACACGTTCATTAAAAGTACATACGTTTGTCTTCACACCAGAAACTGTTTTAAAAGCAGTATTCACTTCAGATCATAAATTTAGCAACAACTCTGACCTTTTATGTCAGAAAGATATTTATGACCTTGCTTTTAAGTGTTGCTGTTTTTCCTAGGGCATTATTTTAGAAACTTGTCAAATTTTAGAATATGGAATAATGAGCAGGGAAGCTTGTTTCACATTGCTGGGCCCACTTTACAACACCAATGTACCTTTAGATCTCACTATTTTATTTTATTATTTTTGTGTGCGTGTACCATCAAATCAGATCTGACTGGTACAGGAGGAGATTGCCCCTCCTTCCCCGGCAGAACATCTGGTGGATTCGAACCATGCACCTCTGGGATTGTAGTTGCAGCTTCTTGCCACTAGGCCACCAGAGCTCCCCTTAGATCTCACTCTAAGCAACACTTCTGTAATTTTCTTTGCCTTGTGGTTAGGTCTTAGAAAGAATACATATGATAAAACATTTAGAGGAGAGATAAGCAGTGAGTCACTATCTTATCCACAATTTTAAACAATTATTTTTTTATTATTTCAAATTTTAAATTAACAACTTCAAGTTAGCTATTGCCTCATTAAAAATCAGTTATGAGTTGGTTTCGTCTCAAGGGTACACAACTTGGTTGCTCAAGGTGCCACACATTCAATGTGTCAAACTCCAGATCCCTGATTTTCAAGCTGGTTTTCATTTAAAATTATCTTCCATCCCCACCATGAACTCCTTCAGGAAGCTTTTCCTGCTTGGTCCATCCCAACCCTTCTCTGAACACATCTCAATTGTAATACCCATCATCCCACAGCTTCACCTTCACTTGCTTGTCCCTTTATTGTTGTGAGCTGTCAATTCCAACCTACAGTGACCTTACGAGACAGGACAGACTCCCAGCCTTTATACTACAATTAACCAAGGAGCGAGATAATGTTCTAGATTATTCCAGTAATGCACAGGAAAGGAAAGATAGACTAAGGGATACAAGTTACAATAAAGAAGAAAAAAAAATGCAAGCTCATCTCTTTCTTCTCCCCCCCTCCCTTTCTCTTTTCTTGGTTAAAGAGTTCTTTGGAAGGATCTTACCGATTTAAATTCCAGAAATTCCATCCCTTTGGCAACTTGATAGGCAAAGCAAAGAAGATCCTCAAACGTAAGTACATTCAGGTCCTCTTCTTCTTCCAGCCTTTTTTGGTTTTCATATTCCATTTCATCTGTAAGATAAAACCCTTCACTTTTATCAAAACACTAAGCAGCTGCCTGATGCCATCAGGTAAGAGGTTATTAATGCTATAGTCAGGCAAGGAGACGACACACAAATGGAAATCTGCCACTTTACCTGGCAGCACCATCAATACTCATGGAAGCAGCAGTCAAGAAATCAAATGACCGCCACAACAAGATAAAGGTAAATAATCCAATAGAAAAATTGGCACAGGATATGAACAGACACTTCACCAAAGAAGAAATTCAGATGACTAACAAGCACATGAAGAAATGTTCAAAATCCCTAGCTCTAAGAAAGATGCAAATTAAAACAGCTATGAGATACCATCTCACCCCAGACTGAATAGCAAAATTTAACAGAACAGCAAGCAACAAACGCTGGTGAGGTTGTGGAGAAACTGGAACCCTTATTCACTGTTGGTGGGAATGTGAAATGGTACAACCACTGTGGAAGGCAGTATGGCACTTTATCAAAAAGTTGCAAATAGAGCCACCATTTGACCCAGCAATTCCACTACTGGGAATATACCCCAAAGAGACCATAACTGACATCCAAACAGATATATGCACACCCATGTTTAGTGTGGCTTTGTTCACAATAGTAAGGAGTTGGAAACAACCCAAGTGCCCATCAACAAACAAATAGACAGAGAAGCTGTGGTATATTCACACAACGGAATACTATGTTGCACTGAAAAACAAGGAACTCATGCAATATTATTCAAAATGGGTGACCCTGGAGGACATTATGCTGAGTGAAGTAACTCAGTCACAAAAAGACAAATACTGCATGGTGCACTGTTGTAACAGGATTGACATCGGCGTTAGGGGGAAGACTGAGAAGGATGGGTTCAATAATGTATACGGCATTGAAACAGATAAGGGAGAAAACTATAAAAGGGATATGTGATTAGGTATTTTTGTTATGACAGGAGTCCAGAGTGAAGGCTGCATAGTGGAGTGGACCTGGGGAAGGGTTTGTAAAACAATGAAAAATTTTTCTTTTACTTTTCCAAGAGGATAGTGCACTAGGGGGGAGGGTTGGGAGGGTAGAAAAGTATAACAGTGAATGAGTGGAAACCAAAAAAAGAAAGAAATCAAATGACATGTTGCATTGTGTGAACATGCTGCCAAGGACCTCTTCAGTGTACTACAGAGCAAAGATGTCAGTTTAAAGACCAAGGTGTGCCTGACCCAAGCCATGGTATTTTTAATTACTTCATATGCATGTGAAAGTTATACAATGAATAAGGAAGACAGAAGAACTGGTGCCTTTGAATTACTGTGTTGATGAAGACTATTAAATATACCATGGACTGTCAGAAAACTAGATCTTTCATCTTAGAAGAAGTGCAATCAGAGTGCTCCTTAGAAGTAAGGATGTTGAGATTTTATCTCACACTTTTGGGGCATGTTGTCAGGAGGGGTCAGTCCTTGGAAAAGGATATTATCCTTGGCCGTGGGTTAGGATAGGAGAGGAAGTCCCTCTATGAGGTGGAGTGACACAGAGGTTGCAATAGGCTTCAGCACAGCAGAGATTGTGATAAAGACACAGGATCAGGCAGGGTTTCAATCTCTTGTACATGGGTCACTATGAGTTGGGGTTGACTCAATGCCACCACTACCACAAACACCACAGCTGATCTAGTCTTGCTAAGCACATGCAGGGTCAATTAAAGATTCCTTTTGGTTTCCCACCACCTCACTGCTGTCAAGTTGATTCTGAGCCACAGCAGCCCTGTAGGACAGGGTAGAATTGCCCCATAAAGCCACCAAGCTGGCAGTCTTTCTTTACTTGAACAAAATGTATGGAAGGGCTAGTGGAGTGGACAGCCAATCTATTGCTTGGCTCCTTCCTGTTTGTTTAACCATTGCTGCCAAGTCATTTCCAACTTATAGTGACTCTCCATTGAGTTTCTGAGGCTATAAATCTTAACAAGAGGAGACTACACATCTTTCTCCAGTGGAACTACTGGTGGATTTGAACTGTTAACCTTTCACTTGGCAGGGCAACACACTATGGACTACATTATCAGAGCTCTGATCTGCTTAAAATCATTCTTACTCCTTTTAGTTGAACATTGACATAAAACTTTCAAACTAAATAGTGTTAGTTTTAACAAAGAATAAGTGAGCCTTAAAGCAAATGCATTTTTCTTTGGAAAATGATTTTCTCTTATAGTAATAGCTTTCTACAATAGCTTGAAAAAAACAAATGGGTTTTAACAAGGCCTTTGCTATGACATTAACAAAGAAAAACTGCTTCTGTGTCTACACACCTCAAAACTATGGGTAGAAAATGAGACTTTGAATTTTTTTCTAAATTTTATTATTATTATTGTGTGTGTGTATGTGTGTATCAAATCAGATCTGACTGGAGGAGATTGTTCCTCCTTCTCCAGCAGAGCAAACGCGGGATTCAAACCATGCACCTCTGGAATTGTAGTGCAGCTTCTTGCCACTAGGCCACCAGAGCTCGCCGAGACACTGAATTTTTTTTTTGTCAATAATTTTAATGAACATTTACTGAGAACCTGGATTTCCGTTCATTCAATGCTGCACTTCTCTACCCGCTCAGCCCTCTCCCCCCGCCCCCAGTTCGCTCCTCTCTTTCAAAAGTAAAAGAAAGACTCCCTCCCTTGTACACAATCCCCCCGCACCCCTCCCACCACCCCAAGTACATTCCACTATGCAACCGAGACACTGAATTTTAAAATACTACTAAATAGAATAAAATACTACCTTCAGAATGAAATGAATTTCCATTGCACCCCGACATTTGGTCCAGATCCTGTTGTATTTGCATTTCTCTTGAGCCAGGCATACTATTAGAAAAACACACACATATATTTTGTCATTACTATAGTCTCCTTTTGAAATGTAATTAAAATATATTTTTGTAGAGTTTGTAAAAGCTGGAACTGGTGTGAGGCAGAAACCTGTTAGAGTAGGAAAAGGCAAGTAATATCCCACTGACCAAGAGCAACAGCAGAAAACCTGAGAGACCTGGAAAAACAAGGCAGTTCTGCTGGGTTCTGGCTCTGCCAGGTGCCACTGAAATCTATCACAGGAGCAAACTCAAACTATTGGCTGCAGAAATTAATTTGAGCAAATCAGTGCTTGTGAAGATGACACAGGAATAGGTAATTGTTCTGTTATATGATAAATCTCCTTAAGTCAGAACTGACAGCTCACAGTAACAATAATCATAAAAGTCCTTTATCGTTGTTATGTGTTGTTGAGTCACCTACGACTCATAGCAACTCTGTGTATAGTAGCCCTGAAGCCTGCCATGTCCTGAGCCAGTCTCACTGACTTCAACACACCTATTGCCATTACCTCAGTTACTGTGTCAATCCATCTCATCTGAGTTTTCCCTTTCCTGCACTGTCTCTCCACCCTTCTAAGCATGATGTCCTTCTCAAAGGACTGGTCCCTCCTGGCTATGTGCCCAAAATATGTGAGATGGAGCTTCGAAATCCTAGCCTCCAAGAAGAAACTTGGTTTCACCCTCTACAAGACAGACTTGTTTGTTTTCTTGGCAGTCCATGGTATGTTTAAGACTCTTCTCCAGCACCACAACTCAAAGGCATCAATTCTTCTATAATCCTTGTCATTGTCCAGCTCTCTGATGCATAGCAAGTTATTGCGAAGATCATGGCCTGGATCAGGCACACCTTTGTCTCTAGACTGACACTATTGCTCCTTAGTACTTTGGAGAGGTCCATGACAGCAGATTTCCTAACTGCTGGTGCCCAGAGTGTTGACTGTGGAACCAAGCAAACTGAAATAGTTAACAACCTCAACCGCCTAAAAGTCCTTTGTTGTTGTTGTTATGTACTGTAGAGTCTAAACTGACCCATAGCTGGCCCTCTGGCATGTCTTCAGAGGCAGTGGGAGGAGATTAACCATCCTTCTCCCGTGGAGCAGCTGGTGGCCTTGAACTGTCTTCCTTTGGGATTATAATGCAGCTTCTTGCCACTAGGCCACCAGAGCTCCCGTAAAAGTCCTTTAAGGGATATAACAGTAAATTCTCTAGCTCTGGTGGCCTACTCTGGATGTTGTGCTGCTAACCTAAAGGCTGAGTGCCTCTGATGGTTCAAAGTCCAGCAGTTTTGATCTCCCAGTGGCTCTGAGAGAGTGAGCGAGCTGGGTAGTCTCTCCCTGTTGTAATTCCAGAATCACAGGATTCACAGAATCCGATGGAGGGTTGCTATGAGGTGAACTGACTCAATGACAATAAGTGTGCTATATAATGATTTTTAAAAATGTTTTTCACCATACAAGTTTATTCCAATTTATAATTTCTGTATCATTGGGAAATGACCTAATGCATGTAGACCACTAACATTTCAAAAAACATTGATTGTGGATGGAGTGAATCTCTGGGTTTGCCAGCATTCATTATTGCTCAAGGGAATGGACACTGGTGGTGAAATGATGAAATATTCAGTTGCTGAGAGGTGGTTTGAAACCAGCCGGTGACTCTGGGGAAGAGAGACCTGGCTGTGAGCTTCTGTAAAGACCACAGCAAAGAACTCCCAAGGGGCAGCTCCACTCTGTCACATGGGGTCAGAAATTACTTTCTGACACCCACCAAGGATAAGTTTTATTAAGCATGCTGAGCCAGTCACACACAGGGTTCATTAGCACAGACTCTCTGTTCCTGAGTGCAGAGGACATTAGAGGGTTTGCTCAGATCTAGAATATAAGCAGGAATGAGTGTAAAGGGCTGGATTGGTGCCATCAGTGTGAACAGGTTAAAAAAAATGCTACTGAACAAAGATGTGATGTCTGAGACTTGGAAATGCCAGTTCTGTCATAGACCTCACGGCATCTGTCATAGAAATTGTGGTGTTAGGGGAAAACAAAAAGCTAAGAATCTCAGACACATTCTCCAAAAGTCCCCCCAAATGATAAAAGCCCCTGGCAAGTAAATGTGCCTTCAAAATAACAGAGGCTTTCAGATGATCAGGGAACTAAGAACACTTTGTAGATGAGTGAATTGTTCTCTGAAAATGCACAAGGAAAAGTGCTCACACTAGGAGGTCCCTGAAAGAGTGGAAACGTGGAGCAAAAGTCAAAGTCGTAAAAAGGCCAAGCTCACAGGTCTGACAGTGTCTTGTTAGAGCCCCAAGACCAGTGCTGCGTGACATTCTTGAAGCCTGGAGTTGAATTCAACCTCGTGGCTCTACTCTTACCCTGAACAACAGAGTGGGAAATAAGATGAGTAAGACGACCAGGGAAGCATTCATTTCTTAGAACAATCAACGTCACAAGATCAAAACGGCAGCACTGGCCTAGGGAGAAAGCTTAGCAAGCAGGAAGGGATGGGAAAGAAGACCAAATGGAAATGGGAAACACAGGGAGGCAGTGGGAAGAGTGCTGTTATGTTGTCAGTATTGTAATCAATGTCACATAACACAATGTGTATGAACTGGTGAATGGGAAATCAATTTGCTTTGGAAACTTTTACTCAAAACACAATAAAAAGTTACCCCTCCAAATGCATGTGAATTTATTCAAGTAAAGATACTAGAGAGTTTTATTTATGTTATTAAGTGCCATTGAGTTGGCTTCAACTCATAGTGACCCTATATCTTTGCCCAAAGATCTATATAGAATAAAACTTTGCTATGAACAAAACTTATGCTATGAACCCTGTATGGACAAAATCTTGCCCAATCCTGTGCCATCCTCAAAGTTCTGCTGTTTAAACCTATTGTTGCAGTTCCTGTATCAACTGTGATGGAGAGTAAACAAGGCAGACTCTCCAATCAGTAATCAGCAAGAAGTTCCCATGGTTAAAGATGTGTATTCCTTCAAACTCTTAGAGGGTTTGCTTATGCATACTGTGACAGTAAATCCTACCAGGACCCAGAATGGCTCAGTGTTCCCACCAATGGTAAAATAATGTTGTTATGTGCCACATGTCACCTGAGACCCACACTGACCCTATGTACAACAGCTTTGAACCCTGTCCCGCCCTGAGCCAGTCTCACTGATTCCAACTCACCTAACCCCACTGTGCCAGTCACTGTATTAATCTATCTCATCCGGGCTCTTTCTCTCCTGCACTGTCCCTCCACCCCTTTGAGCATGATATCCTTCTCCAAGGACCAGTCCCTCCCACGTGCCCAAAGTATGTGAGATGGAGCTTCAAAATCCTAGCCTCCAAGGAGAAACTTGGTTTCACCCTCTCCACGACAGACGTATTTGTTTTCTTGGCAGTCCATGGTAGGTTTAAGACTCTGCTTCAGCACCACAATTCCAAGGCATCGATTCTTCTTCTACCATCCTTGGTCATTGTACAGCTCTATGATGCATAGCAAGTAATTGCAAAGACCATCTAGACTGACATCTTTGCATTTCAGGACTCTGGAGAGATCTTTGACAGCAGACTTTCCCAATGCAATTTGTCTTTTGATCTCCTGACTACTGGTAATGGAACACTAAAAAATCAAATAACAACCCAAACTCAGCTCTCCAGTTGACTCCAATTATTGGCAACCATATGTGTGTAATAATATGCAACTGCTGATTTATTTTTTTATGATCAGCTAGTATTTCTTTAATAACAGGTCTAGTCACACAGGTCTTCAGATGTACACTAACTTGTATCAGAGTTCAAGGACAGAAAAGGCAATGATTTCCACATTGGTGGGATAAAGAATTTTTCATGTAATTTTTCATGACCAATCAATAGCTTTTAAAAATCTCCACCCTTTTCTTCCTAGACACTCTGGGGAGAAGGAGGAGAGGAATCAAACTTCCAAACTATCACTTAGAAGCCAAATATGTTAACCATTTACAACACCCAGGGACTCCAAATAAACGTTGCCACAGCTGTTATGTATTTTGTCCCCATCACATTATGTCACTCTTTCCACCTAATTTTTGGACTCCTAGGATCGAAGATTCTTTCTATAAACAAGTCAAGGATTCAGTAGGAGTGTTAATGTTTCCTACTAATAACTGTGTGCTAACTGGGAGGCCTGAAATTTTCATAAGCAAGTACTTATAAGTTGTTGTTGTTGTTGTTATGTGCCACTGAGTTGTTTGCAACTCATAGCAACCCTATGTACAAGAGCCCTAAACTCCATTCTATCCTGTGCCAACCTTGCTGTCTCAAACACATTCATTCCCACCACTCCACTCACAGAATCGATCCATCTCGTCAAGGGTCTTCCTCTCCTGTGCTGTCCCTCCACTCTCCCAAACATGATGTCCCTCTCCAAGGACCAGTTCCTCCTTGCAACATGCCTAAAGTACGTCAGATGAAGCTTCAGAATCCTTGTCTCCAGGGAACATTCTGACTTCACCCTCTCCAGGACAAACCTGTTTGTTCTCCTAGCAGTCCATGGTATATTCAACACTCTTCTCCAGCACCACAGCTCAAAGGCATCAATTCTCTTTCTATCATCCCTATTCACTGTCCAACTCTAAGATGCATAGCACGTAATTGCAAAGACTATAGCCTGGATCAGGCGCACCTTAATCTTTAGCCTGACGTCGTTGCACTTCAGTACTCTTGAGAGGTCCCTTACAGCTGACTTTCCCAGTGCAATTCATCTCTTGATTTCCTGGCTGCTGTTACCAAGAGTGTTGACTCTGGAGCCAAGCAAACTAAAACTGTTAACTATCTCAATTTCTTCACCATCCATACTGATCCTGCCAATTGCTCCAGTGGTGAGAATCTTTGTTTTCTTGATACTGAGCTTCAATCCATATTGAAGACTGCAGTTCTTGACCTTCTGCCACAAGCGCTTCAGGTCCTCCTCAGTAAGTACAGGGCTGCTAACCAAAAGATTGGTGGTTCAAACTCACTAGATGTTCCTCAGGAGAAAGATGAGGCAATCTGCTCCTATAAAGATTACGATCTTGGAAAACCTATAGAACAGGTCTCTGCTGTCCTGCATGGTCACTAGGGGTTGGAATAGATTCGAGGGCAGTGGGATTGCTTTTTGGGTTTTCCAAAAACTTAACTTGAGTCTGGGCAGTGATTTAGGTATAAATGGAGAGACTGGCTCAGCTCTAGGAAGCGTATTGCAAGAAAAGAAAAGGTCACATTGTTCGAGGTCAACAGGAAAATGATACCAAAGCTAAGTGAGTGATAGAGGTCTTTGCACCCACAGAGACGATAGCCTTCAGCACCTGACCGGTGTCGGGGGACTGATCATTATATGTGAGCTATGTTCAACGAGGCTTCATTACGAAACCCTGACATAGGATCTCACCTGGGATTTGAATGTGACTGGAAAGTGGGGTAAAAACTGAAATTGTGTTCTTTAAAAATCTCCGTCCACGTCCTGTGAAACTTTTCTCTTTTACTTCTTAGATAGTTAAGCAGATCACCATAGCAACAGTATTCGAAAATCAAGTAGATTGGCCCTGAAAGAAAAAACCATTTACATCACAGGTGGGCAAAAACCAGAAGTGCTTTTCTCAGAAGTCTCTGTAACAGATGTCATCTAGGACAGCCAAGGCCTTAGCCGACTTAGAGAAAGTACAGCGCATGTTGAACCACTAACTGAAAGCTCAGCGGTTCAAAAGCACCAGCCACTCCATGGAAATAGGCGCGCCATCCCCTTTATTAAGATTTACCATCTCAGAAACGTGGTGCACGGTCACCATGTGTGGGAATCACACACAGTGGCCTTTGGTTTCTTAGACTGAAATTTCTATTTTAGCTCTTTTTTTTTTGCTTTTGGAAAGCAACGCCTTTTTCCCTTGGACCTTAGCTCTTGCTACACCCATAACCACTGTTCACCTGGACTCTCCAGCTTGCAACTAATACTGAGATGCTGGCAGCGCTGAGAACACTTGGTAAGTAATTACTGACTTGTTACATGACTAAGAAGGGGAAAACATGTCCCCACCAACTCCTGGGTTCACGTTCTTTCTCTCTCTTTTTTTACACAAGCCCTGGGCTGCCTGTCCCTGGAAGCTGCACATAGTACAACGTTCCTGATGGAAAGAAGTCATTGTGAGTGCAGAGTTTGGGTATTTCTGGGCCAAAGGGAGAGAATCAGGAGGCTTGATACAGAGTACAGCGGTGTCAGATTACTCAACAAGTGAGGCAAACATGGTCTGTTTGACTAATCTGTAGTCAACACCGTCTCATGTTTCCACATCACAGATTCAGTTCCTAGGGATGACTACTAGCATCTGTCTCTCTCTTGACCCCACAGCCTTCTTACAGAATCAAAGCCTCTTTTCAAATGGGCAATCCCCGACAGGAGTGGAGCAGCCAAGAAGCCACAGAAACATGGCTTCCTCTCGCCTGTTTACTAATCTGGAGTGAACAATTTCACACGGACTTCACCATATCTTTGATGGATTTGCAGTGAAAACTTAGGGATTCCATGATAGGTCACACAATAAAGGAGGTAGGATAGTCATTCTGTACATTGAAACATTTAATTTACATTAATATATACATATGACAGTGACACCTCTGTCTCTCACATTGCTGTCAATTTTGACAGCACATATATCTGAGATATATCTGTACATGCATTTAGAAACACACAAAGTGATTGCTATCAAGTCAATTCCAACTTTTGTGTGACCCTCCATTGAGCTACCAATGCCCATCCTTCTTCTGTAGAATAGCTGGCGGATTAAAACGGCTAACATTTCAGTTAGCAGCACAGTACTCTACACACTGTCACCAGAGCTCCTATATACATGTATATACGTGTGTGTATTAAACCAAGACTCACTGTCAACTCAACTCATAGTGTCTCTCCATTAGGTTTCAGAGATTCTAAATCTTTTATTGTCATGTGCCATCAAGTCAGAATTGATCTACAGCTGACACTCCAGTGTGTCTCCAGAAGCAGTAAACTGCATGGGAGGAAACTGCCCATCTTTCTCCCATGCTGCAGCTGGCACATTCGAACCACTTACCTTTGGGTTGGAAGCACAACTCTTTACCACTGAGCCACCAGAGCTTCCTGTAAATCTTTAGGAGAGGAGACGACACATCTTTTCCATAGTGGATTTCCAATACTGTAAACTATGGAACTGAACCGCTGATCTTTTGGTTAGCACTGAATTACAACACCAGAGTTCTCTCTCCTCCTCTCCTCTCCTCTCCTCTCCTCTCCTCTCCTCTCCTCCTCCTCCTCCTCCTCCTCCTCCTTCTTCTTCTTCTTCCTTCTTCTCTCTCTTTCTCTACCAGAATTCTGGTGGCCCAGCCTGTAGAGTGCTGTGCTGCTAACCCAAATCTTAGGCATCTCTGTGAGAATGGATTCAATGACAGTGCATTTGAGAGGTTTCTTAAAGCATCTATTTTAAAAAAGCATAAAAAAGCATCTATAGAAAAAGATTTTGTGATGGTGAATAATGCTGCTATGAACATTGGTATACAAGTCTCCTTTTGTGCCTTAGTTCTTATTTTCTCAGGGTAGCAGCATTATTCACCATCACAAGAACATGAAAACAGCCCAGATGTCCAACCACAAACTAATGGATGGAGAAATTATGGTGCATTCACACAATGGAATATTAAGCAGCATACAGGAGCAATGATTTTGCAAATTATTACCTAACTTGGGAGGGACTGGAGAGCATTATGCTGAGTGAATTAACTCAGTCCCATAAGGACAAAAACTGTATAAAATCATTATTGCAGAATGACTATAAGGATCAAAGGGGGGTGGTTGGAAGCAGAAGGATGAGGATGTGCAGGGGTTGGGGGAAACTAATGATGATTTGATGGGTGAAAGGGTGAGGGAAATTTGAAGAATCTGGTCTGGAAAACCATGTATTCAAATTTTGTAAATAAACTGGTACATAAAAAAAGATTTTTGTGTTGCACAAGTAACCCAAGGTCACACTTCTCTGGTGGTTTGAGGATTTCTGGGGGAAAGATGGGCCACCTCGTCCTGTGCACTTTACAGCCTCAGAAATCCAGCAGATGGTGGACTTGTTCTGACTCAATGGCAGCCACTGAGTAAGTGTTTATACACATAAACTCTCTCTCTGAACATGTATGTCGCTGTTGTGTGATGTCAAATTGGAACTGACTTACAGATGATCCTCCAGCAGGTCTTCAGAGGCAGTAAATCGCACAAGAGGAGACTGTCCATCTTCTTCCCATGGAGCAGCTCACAGATTCAAATCATAAGCTTTTAAATTGACAGCACAATTCCTTACCACTAAGGCAGGAGGGTGATACCTCTATGTATGCCTTTGATTGGGTGTTGTTACTGGGGATGCATTACCTGACAGTGTACACGCCCCCAGCAGATTGACGATGTTCTCATGGCTTCCCAGGTGAGTCATCATTTTGAGTTCTGACATGAGAGCTTCTTTTTCAGAGCTGTCTGCCTTTTCTGTGATTGGAAGAGCACATACGCGTAGAATACAAGGAAAGCAGTAAAAATAAAAACACCAAAATAAAAAAACCCAAAAACAACCAAAAAACTCACCCCAAAACCCCAATATTTTAAAAACAATTTCTGTTTAAGTTTGTTTTAGTGTAGTTTGGATGAAAGTTTATAGAGAAAACTGTCCATTCAACAATTTATGCACTTTTTTGTTTCATTAACCTGACTGCATTCCTCTCAATGTCACAGGACTCTTTCTATTTCTTCCCTAGGTTTCTATTCATCCTTCTTTCTGGCCTTTTGAGCTTTATTCTTGGGCAAATTCTGCCCTTTTCTTCTCACTGGTTGACTGTTCTGAGCAGTGTGCAATCTCTCCAGTGTTCCTGTTCACCATAAAGGCCTATCTATTGTTTGCTGGAAAGTTGGGCCACTGGGTTGGGTTCAGTTCCTGGCCTGCAGGGTGATTAAGGACGATAGCCTTGGGGTTCCACCAGTCTCTATCAGACCAGTAAGTTGGTTTCAAGTTTTATGATTTTTAGTCTTATCCTTCATTTTTCTCCCAAAGTATCTAGGGTCTCAACCTGTGACCCTTTTGGGGCAGTCACTGTAGTAGCTGGGTACCATCTAGTTCTTTTGGTCTCAGGGTTGTGGATGATGTGGTTGGTGTGGTCCATTAGTCCTTTGGACTAATCATTTCCATATTCCTTTTATTTTTTCCTCATTTTTGCACCAAATAGAGACCAACAATTGCAAATTAGAAGACTATTCTCAAGCACTTAAGACTCACACCGATATTCTTCAAAGTAGGCTATATAACACTATCTTTGTGACTCTATTAAACCAAGTGACCATGATGTCTCCTGCCTAAATCTATGGTCCTGAGCTCCCAGGTCCAGCAACTCATTCCTTCAAAGTGTTTAGTTATGGCTAAGAAGTTTCCATAACTTTTCCCCCTCTGCTGTTATTAGATGCTATTGAGTTGAGTATGACTCATTGTGACCCTATGAATGATAGATCTGAACCCTGTCCTAACCTATTCTGTGTCAGCCTCATCATCTCTGACACACTTAAGCCCATTGCTGTAATCACTGTGTCAACCCACCTCATTGAGGGTCTTCCTCTCTTTCACTGACCCTTCATCTTTCCAAACATGATGTCCCTTTCCAAAGATTAGCCTCTCCTCACAACAAGCACAAAATATGTGAGATGAAGTTTCACCTCCTTGCCTCCAAGGAGCACTCTGGCTACAATTTTACCTACAGAGTCCACTATATTCATGGATATATTTGCAACACATATGACTCAACAGTACACAACAACAACATAAAAACGTAAGTTGGAGATGAAAATAAAGGTCAATGACTGCAAGCCACTCCATGGAAGCAAGACCTGGAAATTTCCTTGCATAAAGATTACAACCTAGGAAACCCTATAGGGAAGCTGTGCTCTGTCAATGAGTAGTTATGAGTTGGAATAAGCTGATGACACCTAACACACCACAGAGTTTATGTTAACAATGCAAGAAAGAGCATCTGCTTGCAATAACTACCTCTCCCAATGGTGACTCAAATAGAAACTGAACAAACAGATGATGAAGAAGAGTCTGCATTAGAGCTCTTTTATATTCTCAAATCAGTTGACACAAACCTCAACCTGGAAGCATGGCTAGTAATGGCCATTAAAAAAATGGTGGAAAACAAAATGCTTAAAGAAGATATTAGTCTATAGGATAGACAATCTACATAAACCCCAATTTCATCTACACTGAGACCAGAAGAATTAGATGGTGTCCAGCTACCACTACTGACTGTTTTAATCAGGGCCCCAAAAGGACTCCATGCTACATTCTAAAGACATTTCTCTCTTCTTTTATCTTTTCTTCATTTGTAATGTTTGTTGTTACATGCTGTAAGTTATAAGTCAGCTCTGACTCGGAGACCTTATGTACAACAGAGTAAACCCCTACCTGACCCTGTACCATTGTCATAATTTTTGTTGTGCTTAATCTCATGTTACATCTTGTTGGAGGTTTTCCTTCCTTTTGCTGACTCTTTCTCTGCTTTTCTAAGTATGATGTCATACTGTTGAACAGAACCTCAAAGTCAAGCAAAACAAAACAACAAATATACTTACTGAATTCTTTTAGACTAGAGTTCTCCCTAAGACTGCTGTCCTGTGGCCAGCTAGCTCAGTTGGTTAGAGTGTGGTGCTAATAAGAGTACTATCCTGAGGTACTCATCAAACTCTGAACCAAAACTAACCTCTGAGGTCACCTTTTAGTCAAATAACAGAATATCATAATAATATTAATGAATATAATCTGTAAGCACTGTGTGTCCTAAAAAATAATAAGCTCATTTGCATAAGACCAACTGGTCAATAATGACTTTAAAATAAAGGTAATAATGTAAGGGAGCTGGGTAACTAGATTAATGCAACTGGAACAACCAGAATGAAAATAATGAGAATGCTCATTCAGTGTGAAGAAAATAACTGAAGTCATTGAACAATGTGTGCAGAAATTGTTGGATGGAAGTTTAAGCGGCTGTGTAAAGCTTCACCAAAAAACCCCCAAGACAAAATATGACAGAAAATGGGAAGAAGGGGGGACTGCGTCTCCTTGTCTTCATACATCATTGCTGCTATCATTCCACTTTACTGTACCTTTCAGCATTTTGACTGCAACCTGGATTGAGACTCCTGTTTTACTAATTCCATAAGCTGTTGCATTCATCACTTTTCCAAAAGCACCCGATCCTAGGACCTTTCCTGCAAGATGAATGACGAGTAAGCACCTTTGAAAGGTTTCCCAACAGGAAGGAATTGTTACAGAAACTCTTGCAGCATTCAGTGCTTACCAAACTCTAAATTTTCTCTTGGAAACTCCCATTTGAGATCATACTCAAATTCTCGGAAATCAATGTAGAAGTACTCATTGTCCAGTGAGCCAGTCACCTGTACCATTTGCATCTGGCTTTCATACCTGAATTGCTGCAGGGAGGCATGAAAGAATCTGTTGAGAATAGGCAATTACTCAGGAACAAGAAGTAAGGATGAATTTTTACTTTTGGGGTTTTTTTTTACCTTTTTGTACTTGTGATAAAGTAGCATAGTTAAAACCACAATGAAGGGAAGACAAAGTCCAATTGTTGCATAGAATGAGATGTTGTCTTGGATGAAAGGGAAAGGATCTGCAAAGAGTTCCACCAAGTGATGATTAAGACTTTCTGTCTGCATTACAAATAGTATTTATTACAAATAAAATACATATCTCTATTGCATATAGTAAAAATTATACACAAATAGAAAAAATTATAATATCTTCTATCCTGTTTGCATAACCACTGTTTTCAATCCTCACAATCCCTCTACATGTCCTCTACTCCCCATCAGATAAAGTTCACATAAAAGAGAAGGCTTCATGGTGCTCCTAACTGAGGACGGGCAGTTCGAATTTACCAGCTGTTCTGCAGGAGATAGGAGTCAATTTTAGTCACAACTGACTTGATGGCAGTGGGTTTTGATTTGGTCACATAAAAGACAAACTGAAAATCTGTTTCTTTCCTATAAATTTTTCAATATTTCTGAACACATTTTTTTCTAATAATTTAAGAAGCTTCAATGCATCCTGCTAAGGGAAAGACATCAGTCTGGAAAAGCTAAATATTGTCTGATCCCAATAATATTGGAAAAGATAATCTATATAAACAATAAAAAGTTAGTTGCTGGGGTCTGAGAGGAGGGATGAAACAGGTGGAGTCCAGTGCATTTTTAGGGCAGGAAATTATTCTGTAGTTTACAATCATGATAGACACATGGCATGTATTTGTCTAAACCCGAGGGCTGTACAATGCAGAGTGAACCCTGATGTAAACTGTGGACTTTAATGAATAATAATCCATCAATATTGGTCCACCTACTGGAACACATATACCACAGGAATACAAGCTGTTAATAACAGGACAAATGATGTGGGAAGGGGGCATACATGTGAAGGTTTCATAGCACAGTATTTCTGTAAGCCCAAAGCTGTGCTAAAAGTCTGTGAAAATTTTTATTCCAATGAAAACATCATTCATTATGTTCTAAGACTTACACTTGTTTAAATTCACAGAATAAACAATCCAAACTCACCAGCATTGAGTCAACGCTGACTCACAGAGACCCTGTAGGACAGAGCAGCATCGCACCACAGGATTTCCAAGGCTTATATCTTCATGGAAGCAGCTTATCTCAACTTTTTACCAAGCAGTTACTGGTAGATTCGAACCACCGACTTCTTGATTATCAGTTCAATTCTTTAACTACTATGCCACCATGGCTCCTTCACAGGACATGCAAGTCATTTGTTTTTGGTGGTGTTTTTTTATTTTTACTTTTTTCTAAGATGTCTAAATTCAGTGACTTGATGGCACACAACAACAACAATATATTCTGTCTATGAAGATCTTTAAGTGTGTCTGGGCAAGTTGTCAATTCTAAACTATCAGTACAGGCATCTAAATTTCAAGTTGATTTCATTTAGAATAGTGCTTTAAAACAAACAAACAAACAAATATAGGGCTAGGATCAGGGCAAATAATGGTGTTCGGTCAAAGGAGGAAGCTGAAGCTCAAAATCATTTGCTCTGATTCATTGGGATTGGTCTTTGAGTTGAGGTTCACAGTGTTGAGAGTTATTAGTGTATGACTACAGGGAGCTCTGGTGGCCTAGTGGTAAAAAACTGCATTGCAATCCTGAAGGCACATGGTTTGAATCCACCAGCTTCTCTATGGGAGGATGGACAATCTCCTCCCATGTGATTAACAGTCTCTGAAAACCTGCTGGAGGGTTAGCTATGGGTCATTTCTGACTTGAGGGTGTACAACAACAACAACATATGACTACAAGTCATGACCATGACAACATAGGGGATTGTCACTCTGAACTACAGGGTTGCTTTTTCACAGGGGACTCTTGCTTGACTCAAAACCTTTCTCTACTCATGCACTGAGTAGTACATTCTCTTAGGAAATTATCCAAATATAAGGAAACATCAGGCACTAACTCAGCAGTGGGGAATTCCTGACAGGGCCGTGGTAGGACAGCAACTGCTCATACCTGATGAGGTCAAAAGGATTGTTTCACAAGAGTTGCCCACGGAATTGTAAGCGCAGCACGTGACCATGAAACCCTTCATTGCCTCACTGATGTTGAGGGTACTACTTGATATCCTCTGTCCGAATACTTTTCTGTGAGCTTTTTTACTCCAGATGCCTTCTGTGATTTCATCTGTGCAGCTGCAAAGGCATGGCAGACAGAAAAGTTGGGTAGGTAGGCTGGTATTATAGCAGAAACTAGGGTTTCTATTGAGAACACTATAAAAAATTCCTTCATTAATAAACGTCAGGCTTACTGGTCAGATAGAGGCTGTAACTCAACTGTCAGCCAAACAACAGGCTTATAAAGTGACCTGTAACACCAGCGAGTCAGTTACCCTTTAGAGTAACCAATCATATGGAGTCAAAGGGCAGCATTTTCCCAAGGATAAGGCCCCAGAGGCAGGAAAGTGTAAGACAAAGTATTAATGGAGATGAGAATCATAGGGAAGAAGCAGGAACTATGTAACTACATTGAGGGAACTGAAACTAATGACATGAATATAAAGAATGGATACAAATGGTTGGATTAAAACCAATATGCTTTGACAACTTACACTCATAATACAATAATTTTTAAAACTTTAAAAAAATTTATTATTTTGTGTGTGTGTACCGTCAAATCAGATCTGACTGGTACAGGAGGAGATTGTTCCTCTTTCTCCAGCAGAGCATCTGGTGGATTTGAACCATCCACCTCTGGCATTGCAGTACACCTTCTTGCCACTAGGCCACCAGAGCTCACCAATAATTTTTTTAAAAAAGAAAAATTCCTTCTTTAGACATTAACAGAAGCATCTATGGCCACTGAGAATGATGTATGGTAAACATGTTAAAGAATTCACCATTTCTTCTTCAACTGCTCATGAGACAGTCTCCCTATATGCTTACTGCATCAGGAAGCATTTCACTTTACTGCAGCTTGCAGATACTGGATTTTTTACAAATGTTTAACAACTCCATATTGAATAAGTCTATATGGCACCATTTTTCCAACAACATGTGCTCATGTTAGGTCTCTCTGTCACATTTTGGTCCTTTTCACAATATTTCAAACTTTTTCATAATGCTATTGCACACTTAATAGATGATAATAGGGTGAAAACCTAACTTCCTATGTGTGGGAAACCAAAAAAAATGTGTCTGACTGGCCTTTTTGCAATATTTGCTTTACTCAGTGGTCTGGCACTGAAAAAAGGCACTATCTCCGAGGTATGCCTGCCTGTTAGATAGAGAGTGTGTTTTATATCCTTCTGCTACAAGAGATACTAATATTTTCATTACTTGGTAGATTTGTCTGAGCACTTCTTCCAGGTCCAAGATGGTAACGGGTATCCATCGGAGGAGCAAGAAGCCTGATTTGCTGATACCTCAGCCAGCACTTGAGGTTTCCCTGCAGAGAAGAGCATGTGAAAGTAATTTAAGACAAAAGAAAAGGCAACATCCTGCTGCATGCTGCAACATGGGTGAGCCTTGCAAACAAAATACTGAGTGTAATAAGTCAGATACACAAAGATAAATGTTTCATGACCCCACTTACATGAGTGACAGGTAGTCTTCCTCTGACAAAGTACTCAAGTTACTATGAATCACAATTAAAATTGTCCTTTCTCTTTTCAAAATTGCATCATCTGTGAAATGAACTACATATAATGGTGCAACATGTTGCTGATGTTGTCATTATCTGGAAGTCTATTGGTGATGTTTCCAATTTCAAGAAAACAAATAGAGATTGGATATATAAAGATACTGATAGTACAAAACAATAATAATGGAAACAAAAGAAAAATGAGGTATTCATCTTATGTCAGAACTGGCTTATGACAGAGTCACTGGGACAGAACCCCATCATAAGTCAGTGACTACCTGTGTATAGAAGAGGCAAATGCAGAGACAAAAACTTACGAGTGGTTTGCATGAATGGGATGGGAGAGGGGAGTCTTAGCTCAGGGGACACTGAACTTCTCTGTTAATGGTGGTGGGAAAGTTTAGAAATGGGTAATGGGGATAGCTACACAGCATAATGAATAGAATCCATGTCACTGAATAGCATTTGCTAAACATGTTGAATTGGTGTTACATGGGGAGCTCTGGTGGCCTAGCGGTAAGGAGCCACGCTGCCCATCCAAAGGTCCACCAGTTACTCTGCAGAAGTCTGGACAATCTCTTCTTGTGCAATTTACACCTTCTGAAAACCTGCTGGAGGGTCAGCTGAGTTAGTTCTGACTCAATGGTACATGACAACCACAGTACATATGTCTACTTGGGGGAGGGGCTCATTTTCTTAAGGTGGGTTCATATATGACAAACAGATAGAGAAAATGACAGAAAGTATGTAATGAATGAAGAAGGTTCTGTCAAAAGACTAGGGCATTTCTAGCCATAAAAGGCAACTCTGATTCTCAATGCAGTCTACTTTATAATGCATAAGATACCTACTTTGGACTTCTTGGAGTAGCTGGGTGGTGTTATATACTCTTTAGTACATGTAAACAATTTCTATTCTTGCAAGACATACAGCCCAAATTCTCCTTAGAAACAAGGATGGTGAGACAGCCTTTCACACATTTGGGACATGTTACCAAGAGTGACCAGCCCCAGGAAGGACATTCTACGGACTGCCAAAAGAATGAGCTGATGTCATGGAGGACGCACGGCCCAAATGCTCCACAGAAGGAGGAACAGTAAGACTTTGTCTCTTGTACTTTGGACGTGTTATCGGCAAAAACTAGTCTCTGGAGAAGGAACAGAGCGTCATGCTTGGAAAAGTAGAGGGTCAGAGACCCTAAACGAGGTGAGCTGACACAGTGGCTGCAACAATGGGCCAGAACAGAGCGATGGTTGTGAGGAAGGGACACAGCACCCCAATGCCTAGCCACTGGACACCACTTCTCCACTGCTAGGTTGTCCTATCCAGATCTGAAATGTAGTGCTTCATTCTGCTGCACATGGGGCCACTGAGCCACATCCAATCCAGGGTACCCAACAGAACAGCAGCGGCCTCCTAAATGGAGGGGAAATAAATGTCTGTTTGTAAAAGAAATTTGTTTACTATAATGGGTATTCCTGTTACAGCAGCATTAGGAACCTAAGCCACCTGGTCAAGTTGAAGGTCAGTGAAAATAACCCCATGAGATGTATCGTCACAGCAGGTACAGGAGTGAGATACAACAGCAACATCTGTGAGGAAGACACACAGCCCGGGCATGGTTTCCGCCTGTTGTTGGAATCAGTTCAATAACCCCTAACAACAGAACATTTGTTCAGGTAGTATGGCACTCTTGGGAAATGGCTTCAGAGTTGACTTCTGATGTTGGCTGGTATGGGCTGCACATCCACCAGGGTAGCGTGGGCTCCTGGCAGGTGCTCTGTTCCCCACCCCTCCAACCCTCTCTTTAGGCCTCTGGTTCTGCTCTTTTCTTGCTTCTCCCTGTGCCATGAGGTCACCACAGCACTCCAATGCCTAGCCATTGGATACCACTTTTCTACTGGTAGGTTGTCCTATCCAGATCTGAGACGTAGACCCATAGCTATGTGCACACATCAACATAATTCTTAGCTTGAGGAGAAGCTATCCAAAAGATAAGAGTATCAACAAAACATGCCCTCTTATCTTTACAGGTCAAAACCCAGTGCAAATTATAGAAAGCAATATGACTTCAACCATTCCTTAAGATGAACTTTGGAAGAATTAAAACTCAATAAAATTTTGCTTAACATTTGTTCAGTAAAGTCACAATACTACAGCATGTTTTGATAGGATATGGAACAGATCTTTTCATTTCTGAAAATGAAAACAGGGGTGTACATAAAACAAGCCAGTAGGTTTAAGAGCACAATTTCCAAATGCATAAACATTTATTTTATTTTATTTTATTATTTTTGTGTGAGTGTACCATCAAATCAGATCTGATTGGTACAGGAGGAGATTGTCCCTCCTTCCCCGGCAGAGCATCTGGTGGATTCAAACCGTGCACCTCTGGGATTGTAGTTGCAGCTCCTTACCAGTAGGCCACCAGAGCTCCCCCAAATGCATAAACATTTAAAAACAGCTTTACAGCATTAATTTTGTCTTGTTGTTGTTAGGTACTGTCAAGTTGACCACTCATAGTAAACTATGAACAACAGATCTGAACCCTGCCCTATCTGGTGCCATCCTCATCATCTCTGAGTCCATTGTTACAGTCACTGTGTCAATCCAGCTTGTTGAGTGTCTTCCTGTCTTTCTATGATCCCTCTACTTTTCCAAGCGCAATGCCTTTTCCAAGGACTGGTCCCTCATAACAACATGCCCAGAGTATGTGAGAAGAAGTTTCATCATCCTTGTCACTAAAGAGCACATTAGTTGCACTTTCTCCAAGACAAGTATGTTTGAACCTTTGGCAGTCCATGGGACATTCATTTAGTACTTTTCCAACAGCACCACTTAAAAGGTCTGATTTTTCTGTCATCCTTATTTGTTGTCTAAATTTGTCTTAGTGCTGGTATAACAGAGATGTCTAAGTGAATGATTTAATGAACAGAAATATATTCCCTTACAATGTAGGAGGCCAAAAGCCCAAATTCATGGTGTTGGCTCTGGGGAAGAATTTCTCTCTGTGTCCTCTGCTTCTAGGAATTGTAGGAGCGCAGGAATCAAAGTCCAAAGGACATGCTCCAGAGGGTCTAGGGTTCAAGTCCCTGTTCAGGCAAATGGCATGCTCCACATCCAGCTCTTCTTTTTTTTGTGACACTGAGATTCCCTCCCTGCTGACTTTTCTCCCCCTTTTATCTGCGAGAAAAGATGTCACATCAGGGGAAATCCTTTTAAATCATATCAGGACTGTGATCAGTCATCGCATCTCACCCTTCATCATTTTAGGACTGCTTGTTTTAACCAGTTGTGACTGTGTACCATGAAGTCAGAGCTGACCCATAGCTGACCCGCCAGCAGTTTATCAGAGGCAGTTAATCACACGGGAGGAGATTTCCCATCTTTCTCTTGAGCAGCTGGTGGATTCAAACTGAGTGCGTCAAGATGGAAGCACCGCTCTTTACCACTAGGCCAGCCACCAGAGATCCCTTATTTTATCAGTCATTTATCAATAATGTGGGATTATCATATAAATTCCACATTACATTATTACATACAGTATTTTGAGAGGGGACACAATTTTGTCAATGACACTTTCTAAGCCATTACTTAGCTCTTCCTAGTTAAGGTTAATAGAGAATTAAGGAATGACAAAATTAAAAGTATAGGGGTTTGTTTGTTTTTTAAAATTTTACTTACGTTTTATATTCAGTGTAAATACTTTTGTGAACTGGGCATCATCATTCTCTGCATGGAATGTATATTCTCCAGGCTGGTGTCTATGGTTGCAAAACTTAGATACACTGTTTGAAAAAGAATTGAAGACATATTTAGCCATGTGTCTACAGAAAATGCTAAAATGAATGACAGCTGCTTAGGAGAGTCTTCCTTGAGACACTGACCCACTCCTCCAAGTTCAAGGAAAAAGACCAACAGGCAGCACCTACATCACTAGTATTTGGTAACTTTTTTAGAAATTAAAAATTCCAGGTACCACCCCAAATCTACTGTGGTGTTAGAACTTTGAAAAATGGCTTTATATTCATTGCATTAGCCCTCACTGAAGGCATGGTCTCTCTAGCTACCTCAACTGTGGGCACATAGTCTTACAAATAATCCACAGCTGTGGGAACAATATGAGAGAGAGCATTTTCCACACTGTGAGGAGACTGTGGTGAGACTATGGAGACTGTGAAGAGGCTGTAGTAAGGTGTAACCTGACAGAATCCTGGAGATGAAGCCAAAGTTAAAGGTTTTGCTTCTGGACAACTGAATAAAGAGTTGAGCTATGACTGCTATAAGACAAAGCCTGCTGGATGAGTGAGGAGACCAGAGGTTTATTTTTGCTGCTGAACTGAACCTAGACTTTCACTTGTTGACTGAGAAACTGTATGAACCAATTGAAGAGTTGTGCCTTGATGTTAGTCTGTCTTGGAGCTGCTGTTCACTAAACCTGAACTTTTACTGTATGATATCCTTTGTCTCCATCACCTCCCAAACTATTTCTGAATAAACACCACAACTGTGAGTAAAGTCTGTGAGTCTATCTGCAATAAACATTGGATCCAATAATTCATAGAAATAGGTGCAGGAGCATGGAGGATGGCATGTCTGACCATGTAAATATTTGGTACTATGGATGTTACTGATGGGGACAGCTCCACTTTATGAAGCAGGTAGAAATCAGACTCAGCCTTCCCTATGTTACCACTGCTCCTTTTAACACCTACTGACTCAGAGTCTATGCTTAAGATGATTCCCATGCAATCTGCAGGCACATTCTTTTTTTATGTTTTTATTTTATTTTTATTTTATTATTTTTGTGTGAGTGTACCGTCAAATCAGATCTGACTGGTACAGGGGGAGATTGTCCCTCCTTCCCCAGCAGAGCATCTGGTGGATTTGAACAGTGCACCTCTGGGATTGTAGTTGCAGCTCCTTGCCACTAGGCCACCAGAGCTCCCCTTGGCACATTCTTGTTTGAGACTCTGGCCTAGACCGGAAAGAGGTATATCTTGTATATCTTCTGGATCTTCCCACAAATGTAGAAGATTCTTGGAAGGTGGTGGACACCATAACTTCCCTGCTTCCTGAAAGGCTGTGTCTTTGATGTTGGCCCAAGGCAGGACCTATGGCCAACCCTGGATTCCTACTCCTGTTCATAATGATGAGCACTCACAGCCACGGAGCTTCTGGAAGATTCTTTGTGCAGTCTCAGCAGACTCTAGTACCTATGTGGATCTCTATTACCCATCCTCACATTCTGACGTGGATAATTTGCTATAGAGGACTATACCCAGGGCCTAGGCATCTCTGGTGAGGTGGTCCACAGAGAGCTGCCCTGCTAACCCAAAGGCCGAGCCACTCTGCTGGCTCAAATCCACCTGTGACCCTTTGAGAGAGACACGGGCAATCTTCTTCCACGTGACTAACAATCTTAAAAATCCAATGGAAGGTCAACTATGAGTTGGTTCCATTTCAACAGTACAGAGAGAAAGACAGACAGACAAACCCAATTCCTATCAGGCATCTGGGATGCTGGAGACTCTAGCAGGATACTGAGTATTCTAGAAGAGGCAGGTTAACAAGGAAGGTGAGCTCCTTGGGTTGCAAAACACTACAACAATAGTTGCAACAATGAATGCACGCATGTCAGTGATCATGAAGAAACCACATGTTCTGTTGAACATAAGGCTGCCATGAATTGAAGCCAATTCAACACAACTAGCAACAACAGAAGGGGAGCAAGGTGCTATGGAATATGACTTAATGCACTCAAATTAATCTCCAGAATTATAGGAGAATGTGGGGTAAGTGTGATCACATTGTGGGTGCTGTCATTAAATGCTATAAAACAAAAAGGTATATAATCAGAATATATGAATGGTTGAATTATAAACCAATGTACTATATTAAATTTTCACTCTAATTACAATTAAAAAAAACCTCAAGCCCCCCCCCCCGCCCCCCGACTCAAGTCTACTGCTGTCAAGTGAATTCCAACTCACAGCAGTCCCACAGGACAGAGTGGAACTGTCCCACCAGGTTCCTAAGCCATCTTTACAGAAGCAGATTGTCACATCTTTTTTTCTGGACCAGATAGTGGATCCAAACGTCTTATATTCTGCTTAGCAGCCCAATGCTTAATCTAATGTGCCACCAGGGCCCCTTCTGTAAAGATGAAAGTCTAGGGGACTTTATGGGATAGTTTTACTCCATTTCATGGGTCACTCTGAGTCTGAAATAAACCAGACGTTATCCAACATTTACACAATGGTGGAGTGAGAGTTCATGGCTCTGACTCAGTGAAAGTTTCATGTGGTCTGAAGCAGAGCATTTATTAGTCTTTTAAAAAAACTTGCTTAGTTGGCTAGAGAAGGAAAATTTCTTAGTCCTGACCTAGTTCTGGAAACAAGAAGTAAATGTCTGGCGAAGTGGAAGTGATGGAAAGATTGGAGTAAAGCCAAATGATAGCCTTAAGGGGCAGAAGGGTCACTGGAGTCTCATGTGATTTCCAGATGTCATCAAGGCAGACTATAAGTAGGCCAAAGAAAGTGGGATCTGTTCTTCTCAAATGAAAGCCATAATTCTAACTCATAGTGACCCTCCAGCTGGTCTCTGAGACTGAAAATTCTTATGAGAAGAGACTATTCTCCCTTGGAGCTGCTGGTGGATTCGAACCACCAAATTTTTTTATTAATAGCCCTATCACATAAGCCACTATACCACCAGAGTTCTTCGTGTTTCTCAAAGGGAGCATGTGTTATGGCCAATGGGCTGGAAAAGGAAGAAGAAAGGACATAGGGAAAAAAACCTGACGAAACTACCCAATGTAGCTAGTCAGGGAGTATACCCAAGGCACCAGTCACTGGGACAGAAAAACAAATAATCAATTAGTTGCACTGATGACAGTATTTATCAACACCTATGTAAGGCAGCTCTGGTGGCCTAGTGGAAAAGAACTGCACTGTAATTCCGAAGGCACTCAGTTTGAAGCCACCAGCTGCTCCACGGGAGAAGGATGGATAATCTCCTCCCACGTGATTAACTGCCTCTGAAAACCCACCGGAGGGTCAGCTATGGGTTAGTTCCAACTTTATAGTAAACAACAACAATATAAATGTAAGATGTGTGGGAAATTATTTCAGAACCCCTATGAGAGGCAAATGATTAACATATATGACTGCTAATCAAGAGGTTGGAGGTTGGAGGCTGCCAGGAGGCACCCAGGAAGAAAGGCCTGGTGATCTGTTTTCAAAACACCAGCGGTGGAAAATCCTGTGGAGCCCAGTTCTGCTCTCATGTGCACAGGGTCACCAGGAGCTGGGGTCTGCGTAATGGCAACTATTTATCTTTTTCTTTTAGTAGTTTATCCTTTGTCTTTTTCCTTTAGTAGCTTTTGAGGTTTAGGAGCTCTGGTGATGCACTGTTTAGAGAACTGACTGCTAATAAAAAGGTCAGAGGTTCAAATCTACCAACTGCCGAGCAGGAGAAAGCTGTGGTGGTCTGCTTCTGTAAAGATCACAGTGTTGGAAACCTTACACTGTTGCTGCTTGCTGTGTGCTATTCAGTTGGAAACCAGCTCATAGCTGATTCTCCAGTGGGTGGTGAGAGGCAGTAAATTACACAGGAGACTGCCCATCTTTCTCCCTCAGAGCAGCTGTGGATTCAAACCACCTGCCTTTGGGCTGGAAGCACAATTCCTAACCACAAGGCGACCAGAAGTCCCTTGGAAATCTTAAAGGATGATTCAACTCTGTCCTGTAAGGTCATTAATAGTCAGAATCAACTGTGCAACAGAGTCCGGCTTAGAGGACAATGCTCCTGGAATGTCTTCACTCCTCTGAGCAATCTCCGTGAAAGAAGCTGGTCCCAAAAATTCCACCGAGACCAGCTGACCCTCCAGGCCACCTGATTCTGCATTTTCTCCAGTTTCCATCTGCTAACTGGCAAGACCAACAGGAACGACAGGGTGGCTGACTAGCCTCCGGGATTCTAGGGGACTCACCAGCTGAGGCAAAGGAGTTCAAGGCTCCATTTTTCCCTTGGGTTTTTTTCTGAACTTGGCCTGCTGGCATCAGCAGTGAGGTCAGAAAGTCCAAGTTTACAGTGAAATCACCTCTTGTGACTCAGAAGGCATGCTCTCGTTAAAACTATGAATAAGGATTTTCCCTCCATCCCATCAAAATGCAGGTCACTTTTATTTTCTGTTTCGTGCCAGAGGAGAAGTACTGAGAAAGGGTACTTCTTCCTCACCTCAGAAATAATTTAACTACAAAGTAAAGGAGGCCTTGTCCAAATGGGAAGGGATTATCCCAGGAAATCAGAACACTGGGAATCTCGTGGGTGTTTTGGGGCAGCATTGGGAAAGAAGAGCGACAGGCTGAGGAGGGGTGTGCATTTGACACCCACTCAATGGCAGTGACCTTTCTTTTGGTTTTCTTGTCTTTTTAAAAAAGTCACCCGAATCAGGAAGCAGGATGGATCCTATCTCCCTCAAACAGGAGATTGTCTGGGGCTGGTGAGCAATGCCAGAGCAGAGGCTTACATTTCTGTTAGAGGAAGATACTGGGGGAGAGTGTATGCTGAAGACTTTCTGTTACTCTGTATGAGACCAAGCAGTGGTTAAAGCACTAAAAGCTCAGCAGTTTGAATCCACCAGTGACTCTGCAGGAGAACCTACCCAGCAGTCTGCTTCTGGAAATATTTTAAACCCCAAACCAAATCCCACAGCATCCGTGTTGATCCCTACTCACAGTGACTCGGGCAGACACTGAGTTATACCCGGGAGGACAGAGAGAAC